GCAGATGGCACTGGGGACGGGGGGGACATGACCCCCCCAGATTTATAGTGACCCGATCCGTCCCCCCTCACTATCCCTACAAAAGGTGACAAAAATCGGTAAAACAGAGGATTAACCAATGTTTTCGCTATATGTACATTAGCCAAAGTAGAGTGTCCCGGCCCGCCGCTGCTTCAGAATCGGGTCGGGACAGACGCAGGCTGATCTACACCGGTCACCATTACTTTGTACCTACGTTCTCACTACACGCTGTTCTGTTGTCAATAAACACACGATGTCTTCATGCCACCGACGTTTACACTCTCTCTCTGTGTGTGTGTGTGCTACGACTCCTCCTGAGTGACGTCGCCAGGGTCCTATGAGGAGCTAGTAGCTGCCTTTATCGTGCCTGTAGGAGCGAACCGGTAACCATAGTGATCATATACCAGACATGGGGACTTGTGACTTGGTGACTTGGACTCGAGTCGACTCGAGTCGCTATTTTTATGACTTGTGACTTGACTTGACATAAAATGAAATACTTGAGACTTGACTCGGACTTGGAAGTTAAAGACTCGGGACTTGACTTGACTTGAGACACGATGACTTGAATGACTTGAGTGTTAATCACATCATGTTTTCAGTTTGAATATAAAATATATAAATTATATATTTTTTTTAAGTTGATCACGACACTATCATCAGTCATGCCCTCTCGTACCTTACGCACACCACGCCCACTTAGATCAGATATCACATCAAAATGTCGGCCGGAGGGCTACCGAGGGTCTTCGCTTTCGGCTTCAAGAATTATTCACAGAAGATGGCAAAAGACGAACAGCGCTTTGCAAGACATGCAACATTAATATTGCGGACAGCCAGACGACAACCTCCAATTTCGTCCGTCATTTGAAGAGCCATTCTGCCCAGTAAGTGCTTGTCAATTTGTTAATGTTAGTTGGTAGTTAGCTAATGTAATAATAGCTAAAGTAGTCATTAACCCTTTCACAAGTAAGTTTAAACTATTCTAACTGATCCCCCAGCGTGAGTTTTTCTAGGCGACCGTTATTTAGAACCTATCACTCACTTTAATGTTTCCATGGTGACGCGTCATTGCTTGTCACGTGACACAGCGCAACCACAACACAGCGCTGAATGAATGATGATCTGCTTTTATGTCATTTTTCCTGTTTTATTCAAAATGTTCACAAATGTATTAGCTATAACATACAACACTGATATTCCGATTGTCAAATATGTGTAAGTGGATGTGTTTTGTTGTTTAAACACCTTTATAATGATCGCGTTAGTTGAGCTGTATGTGCGAATGGGCGGTGCCATGTTAACGTTTACAACAGGTCAATTTCTCAACTTCTCACGAAATACATGAAAGTAACGTTAAGTGACCGGTGAACTGGGAGAAGAATAGGGTAAAATGTAAAGCTATACTTACACAATGTGTATCTGATATGAATAAAACGTGACGTCTTATTATAATGGAAAGGATTATTATTGACGCTTCCGTAGACATCAGTGTGTATTTTACAAAATACACTTTTTTTTTTTTGCTAGTACTTATGTGTATTTAAATGTCTGAAACCTAAAATAAAAATTATGTGGTTGAAAACACTGAACAGTTGTGATATATGACAGCACTGAGAGCGTATAGCCTTGTTTATACTCGACGCGTCCGCACGAGCGCGAGTCTCCGCTGACTGCGCGCGGACCTCTCCATATGGACGAGGCGTTTATACTTGACGCGCTCGCCGTTGTGCTATTCTGTGAAACGACAGGGGGCGACTCGGAGTAATTCTCCTCTAAACCACCAGGAATCAGCAGTGAAGAAGTAGTTTGCCATTTATTAGTAGTTTATTAATTTCTGATTCATATAAAAAGAGTAATAAATGCAGTAGGTTTATTGTACTTTCGCTGCATGTAAACTAGTAAACAACTGAAGCCTTATTGAAGAGTGTTTAAACCTTAATTTCATCAGCAGGGCTTACTTCTGCTATTGTAGGCTTATTTTGTAAATGTAAGCAGTTACTTTATACAAGTGCAAACTGGGTGCTTAATGTAAATGTGTTTCTATTCACAAAATGAGAGGCTTTTATGGTCGCCCATCAATGCAAATGTCTCTGTGTATAGAAGGATCATAAACATGGTGGTACAGACATACCAGTTCGGCCAGATTCGGCTCGAAGTCGTTCATCTTCGGATGCGGCGCCGCGCGCGATGTTACAAAAAGTGCCGTGCACACCGCCAGGCGAAATGGGGTCTTGCGCACCCAACGCGCACGACCGCCCACACCGCAATGACGTCATTTTTGCCGAGGGCACTTCGCGCTCTTGCAGACGCGTCGAGTATAAACAAGGCTTACGCCGGGTTCACACCGGACGCGGAAGCGGCGCGGAACGGAGGCCGCTTCCTTTCGGCGCCCATGTTAACCTATGGTGTCGTTCACACCAGACGCGGAGCGCCGCAGTGCGGCGCAGGCGGCACGCGCCGTGAAGCGCCAGTTTCGGCGTCTGGTCTATTTTTTCCGCGAGCCGCGAGTGATCCGCGTCAATTCCGGAAGGAAGTTACACCAAGAAACACTCGACTATCCGGTCAATTGTCAAAATAAAAGCAATTTTCAAATTAAAATACCGCGAGTGACAAATGCGAACACACAAACAAACAGGGAAACAACGAGAGGGAGAGGCACAAACTTATTGGTTACAGAAACATGTTGTATTTATATTATGAGGTTATTTACTTACCCATGATGTAAAAAAAAAAATAGCTCTGAATAAACAACTGAGCAGAAGCGCTTGTCGACCTCCGCGAAGAACACGCGTCTGGTGTGAACAGGCACGCGCCGGTCCGCGCGTGAATTTCCGTTCCGCGTCGCTTCAGCGTCCGGTGTGAACCCGGCGTTATGTCTCTGGCTCAGCGCCAGCCAACGCGTGAAAGCACGTTTGAATTCATTGATAACTTACACGAAGCAGAATAGTGGGTCATATGTCTAATGCTTTTTGAAAACTTAAGGCTTTCTTCTTCATAAAAGAAGTCGGACATCATCACATTTTTGTATACATTTTTATTTCTTTAAATTAGTAAGCTATAGGACACCATCTTTCAAAACATGACCTGCGTGAAAGAGAAAAGTGAATGAATGCGTCATTGTTCCCAAATGCACTTCCGAATGCGCCTCTGTTCATTTCAGACCAAACTGACGCCCATAGATCAAATTCTGCAGGTAAAATTACAATAATAAGGTGACTTGACTTGGACTTGACTTGACCTACTACAGGACTTGACTTGAATTGACTTGACATAGCCTGTGACTTGACTTGACTTGACTTGCCCAGGAAAAAAATACTTGGGACTTACTTGAGACTTGAAGGTTAAGACTTGAGACTTACTTGAGACTTGCACATGTGTGACTTGGTCCCATCTCTGTCATATACCATCTATGACTGAGCTGAGTCGGTGATTTTCTGAACTGAACAAAATCGACTGTATAAATGCCACATAAAGGCAATGAAGAGACAAAAAACAAAAACAATCACCTCGTTTTTTCAAAAAACAAACAATGTAAGTATCCTATGCCTGTTGACTTTCCCAGATGTGGCAGATTAGATTTGTTAAGGGGAATAGCTAGTCTGACAATAAGGCTTTTGCACTTAGTAAACAGCAAAATGTGGAGACCATAACTATGCATTTAGGTGAGTGGACAGAGACAAATAATGAATGAACACAAAAAGAATGGTTGGATAAATCAAACAATTTATCGTCGTCAGGAAATAATGTTTTATCTTATTTAACCCATTGTACTGTATAAATTGATGAGGTATGTTCACTGTCGTGTAAACCACTATAAGTAAATTTGTGTGGTAGAAAGTTTATGCAAACAACAAATAAAGGCCTACATAAACTTTTGACATCCTCTTATAGCAGGAAATCATGTTTTTTTTATTGTACGGAGCAAAGGAGGATATAGATTCTTAAATTATGGGCTATGAAAAACATTTCTTAATATGTCATACATCATTTGAAAGATATTTCTAATCTATAAATTGCAACAAAATTGTAATTAACACTTAAATTTACATTTTTTAGTTATTCTTAGACATTTTTGAAATAGTAGTTTTAGCCATTAATGATCAGGAATATGTTGCTTCACATTGATATTCACATTATATAGAGGTATAGAGGGTTAACTGAAATTATAAGATTTAAACTGTTGTCCTCCTGGCCTCAGGCGATTTCTGATGACAGTAAGGCAGGCCCTAGTCAGTCAAGTGAGGATCTGCAGGAGGGCAGCCACAGTAGAAAATATGTCGTTGTTATTTTATTTTTATTTTTTGCACATAGGTTCTTTGCTTTTTTGTTCATAATGATAGACTTTGTATGCTGAGATAAGCAAATGTTTAAATAAAACATACTTTGCTGAAGACATGAAGATTTGGTGGGTGATTGGCATACTATCAGGCCTTTGTTTACCTTTGTTCATTGTTGTTTATCCATGATTTCAAACAAGAATCCCCCAATGGCTTTTTAGTGCAAATCATTAGCCCAAATTACATAAAGAAACTACTTGAGCACTAGTTAAAGCCCAAATTACGCAAAATAACGAATTGAGTTTAAATCATTTGCTGACAGCTTGGTCCCCCCCAGTTAAAAAATCCTATCTGCGCCACTGCCGTCACACCCCTAGTTCCACAGCGGCATCCATCTTTGTAAATGTACTAAATCTGCTTCACCGTCGCTGTGCTGTCGTCATCGTGTAAAGCCCGCCCCAACGTTTCTGATTGGTGCCGCGATTTCGACGGATTAGAAATGGGCTTGAATGAGCTCTTTGCCAGACTAACTTGCAGAGCAAATCTAAATTTGCCGGAAGTTGTCTGGGTTTTCCCAGGCTAGCTTTAACGTTCAGCAGTTTTAAAAATTAAAGGGTTAATTTGTATAAGTAAAACTGTCTTTGACCTCTGAATGTTCTCTCTTTTTTCCTCCCTCTCTTTCTCTTTTTTTCTCTCTAGAGTTTAAGTACGGGAAGGCCTGCATCCTGATTGCAACAGATGTAGCCTCACGTGGATTAGGTCAGTACCTTCCAAGATGACACCTTTCTTAGCGTCCTCTCTTAAGAGCCAACAAAGTTTCACTTTTAAAGAAAGTGCTTTGCTTTCTTTAACTTCTCTATGCATTCTCTGAGTTTTTCTCAGCTAAAGGTGGAGTCTTTGTGGCAGGGCCTAGGCATGACAACTCCAGGCCAGCAGAGCAGGAAGGAGGAGTATTGGAACTTGGTGACTGGCTGCCACCCAGTTGCATAGAGAGGTGACTGTGTCCAAGTTGAGCTCTGTGTGCCAGTATCATCTTCAATAAGGCAGTGTGGCTAAGCCTTTTTATAACTCGTTTATATATACTTCTGTTCTCTGTCCATGTATTTTATGCCTTTTAAGTACACCAGTTCCATCTCGAGCCATGTTCCATCTCAAATTACCAAAATGATCAAAAAAAGGCTTATTGCTGGTTTTACCATTTTGCCTTGCATGCATTTTGTAAAAGCACTGAATGGCAAGACATTTGTTTGAGATTTGGGCAGATTCTTTAGTTCTGAGCTTGTCCAAGCATGGGGTGTTAGCAAAATGCACAAAAAAAAGCTTTTCTGATTAGTTGCTTTTTTTCTTTATACAAAGCCCTGGTGTTCATGAAATGGAGAAAGCTAGTTTATTTTCCTCATAACGCAATTGGTGACAACTGGCACATGTGAGGAGCTCTGGGACGCCTGTAGACAGTGGAGCATAAAGCTTTATTTTAAACAAAATGCTCAGCTAAATTTTCTAAGCTGGATGTTCCTCCCTCGCCTGCGTTTTTTAAAAAGTCATGTCGAGACCTGCCAACGAGACATTTTCTCAAGTGAACACAGGCTTTTGGGAAGATCATGCCTAGACGAGACTGTGATGAGGGATATGATGATACGTCTTTGATAGCTTGTGCAGATGGGTTGGATATCACTTGGCTTTTGTTTGTTTTTGAACTTTGATTTGTGGGTGCCGTCAGATTAGCACTGGTCTTTTGGGTCTGGGCAAGACTAAGCAGTGCGGCCTTTATTAGCAAGCTTCTAATGAGTGTGCTGCTGAGAAAGGACCTTTAGAACCAAAACCAACCCAACAGTCCTCAATCGTCACATGAGGAGGCGACTGTGCACATTGTGGCATACTCCTTAATGGTAAGACATTGTTCAACAAACTAAAAAACGTATTGTAAAAAAAATAGGGCTGCACAATTAATCGAAACTAAACCGCACGCGATTTGACAAAGGTTGTGATTTAAAAAAAAAAAATTATGCGCAGCGGCTCTGTGATCAGTAGTAAATGTTGCTCCATCTGAAAGCCAGAGGGCGCTCTTGCGCAAACACTTCAAATATGCCCCGCAGAAGTATGATAATGCAGCCATTCCAGGAAATCCCTATTGGGATCATACTATTGCTGTAGCTGAATATACAGAATATTGAAAGTCTTTGATTGATAAAACATGACTTATAAACACACGACTACGACAATATGTGACCCTGCCTGTGAAAACCCAGCTAAAGTCATTTTTTTGTGATTCACTGTTTTCTACATAAAATCATCCTACATAATGTAAAGAACATTCTGTGAAAATATAACATTGATATCCTTAATATTGACTGAGTAAGGCTATGTCAAAGATTTGCTGAATTTCAGGCTCAGAAAATCATGTTTTTGAGAATTATTCCGATTAAAAAAACAACTTATTTTTAAAACTGCAACACATTTGATCCATAATTATCCTCCATATGTGCCATATACCACATTAAAGCTGAGATTCTCCCCTTTTTAGTGATATATAAACACATTTATGGGAAAATTCTTAAGTTTTGTAAAACAGACCTATTTATTATGATGCGCATGTCCAAAAAGCTAAAAGCATAAAAACATTGAAACGAATGGGGCCACCACAAGAGCTTGCCATGTCAATTCAGTTGAATGATTTGTATAACTTTATTCGGTAGAAAATCTCATTCTCTTACTGAGCCATGGTGTAACATTGAGTAAATCTGGAGTAAAAAATAAATAAATACAATTTCAAGGGATAGTTCACCCAAAAATTAGAATTCTGTCATCATTTACCCCCTATGAAAAAAAAACCCCTATGGAAGTCAGTGGGTGCCGCCAACTGTCTGGTTACCAGCATTCTTTAAAATATCTTATTTTGTGTTCAGCAGAAGAAAGAAACTCATACAGGTTTGGAACAACATGAGGGGGAGTAAATGATGGCAGAATTCAAATTTTTGGGTGAACTATCCCTTTAACAGGTCAGTCTCAAATTTTGTACACATTCTAAAATTGTCTAGATGCAAAATATTTGATAATCTCATGGATTCTATTCACGAAAGTATTCAACTTTGTCATTAAAAAGTCTAAAATTAATATTAAAATTGGAAATAAGAGTATGTACATAAGCAGCTCCATAGAGACAGTCAATTAAGCTAAGCCATTTTCATTTTTTTGGCAAGACCATGTGGGGTCTTTTTTGGTCTTCTAACACCATGGGTGTGGGGTGGAGCAGGAGTCAGCACCTCTGCATGGACAACTTTGTTGTTTTCGTCACTCTGAACCTTGTTCTGCATTGTTGGATTAGGGCATACCAGATTGTCCTCATCATCATGTTGGTCACTGCCTGAAAAAACAAGGAGAATTTGTTCAATTAAAAGCAAGAGATCTAAATGGATTTATGAGATATGTGATATATTTAAATGTAATATATTAATTAAATGTAGATATGAGATATATTTAAATGTAAATCCACATTTAAAATGGATAATGAATCATTTTATATGAAAATATCAGACTGATTCTGATTAATTGAGGGGATGACATAGGGACAAGAAACAGGTAGGCTATGGATATATGGCCATAGCTTCAATTCAGAGTGTAATCAAACAAATATACATCATGTCATAAACGTAATTAATTTAAACTGACTCAATCCCAATCAACAAATGTAATAAACATTTAAATCCACTATTTTTGCATCACAGGATGAATTCTGTGTTAGCATTAACGTTACATTGGCTGAACACTGACAAAAAAGAATGACAAAAACTTACCGTTAAATTCCTAGTCAGTTTCGTCAAAGAGTGTGTCCTGTTCATCATCACCATCATCCTCCAGAAAATAATCCGCTATAAAACCGGTTAAATCATAATTTGGGGCAATTCCACCGAGATTAATATCTAACAAGTTGTTTAAGCAATCCGCTATTTTACGTTCCTGCTCATGCTTCGGTGCTGCCATGTCAGATGTCAAAATTATGCAGTAACGTTACTCCAGCAAACAAATTATATTATTGACACATAGCAGGCCTAAACTGTTAAGATTAATCTTATTGGCAGAATACTGAGCTACAAAACAAATAAGCTGTTCCTAAATGTTTGGCGATGACACGAAAAATCTCCTCAGACATCTGAACCCGGCTAAAGTCGCTTTTTTTTCCATCGTGTTGACCTGATTGCCGCTGGTGCGGATTGATATTAAGGTCTGTTTACTATTTCTAATAGAAAATAAGTAGAAAAGAAGTCCCTGAACTGAATGATATAAGAATCAGCAGGTGTTGTTGCGCCGAAAAATAAACCCAGAGACGATTGAAATCAATGTTTAGGAAGCCCACGTCCGGTTTTTTTTTTTTTCGCAAAAGTATAACGTAGTGTCAATAAAATCATTAATTTTAGTATTTATCATGTTATAAAGGAAAATTTGAGTATTGCATTTCAAAACCCTTGGACTAATCTATCATTTACAGCAATAAACACACATGACCTATTTTTGTCATTTTTATGGCTATGACTACTTTGACGCTCTTTTACTCATAATTAGATTCTGCGACTTTAGCCGGGGGTTCACAGGCGGGGTCACATATATGGTTTATCTGAGTTCAAGCCTTCTCGGGTATTTTCATGATGATAAAGTATATTTATACTTCAATGCTAATCGACATAGCCTTTATCACTGTATAGAAACACTATGCCTTATTCTGTGTAGAAATAATATGCCTTATTCTGTGTAAGAAGCATCATCTCACAGAAGGATGTTTTCAAACACTCAACTGATGTTATGAAGTAAGTTTGGAGTAAAAACATGTTATTAAATGTTGTCTCTTGTTGGGCAAGAGGTTAATAAATGCTTCATATATGTTTGGAAAGATGTTTGACGCATGTTGCTTTTTAACATGCACGTTATAAGCAACTCAAAACTCCCAGTACTTTCAGATGGAGCAGCATTTAGTTCTGATCACAGATCCATGCTTCATTGACAAGCTGCGCTTAAAAAAATAATCGCAGCCTTTGCGATTTCATAATCGCACTAAACGATTTCATGTTAATTGCGATTTATCGTGCAGCCTTAGTAAAAAATGGGAGGGTGGAACGCATTTAGGTTCATTTTCTTTTTTGTTTTGTTTTTTGTAAATAGAGTGTGCATCGTTTCTCTCTTCTCACAGTAGTCTTCCCATGGAGTCAGAAACTATCATCTGTTTAAATTTATCCATTAACTTTTTTTATCAGTCCAGATTCCATTCAGTTGTTTAATGTACTTATTGCTAACTTTTTTTTTTTGATCTGGCTGTTGTGGTGTGCAAAATCTGTCTGCATTCCTTTTTGCCACACTGCAACATTTTACAGATGTGGAAGATGTCAAATTTGTCATCAATTATGACTACCCTAACTCATCTGAAGACTATATTCATCGCATTGGAAGAACAGCCCGCAGTCAAAAAACAGGCACAGCCTACACCTTCTTTACTCCCAACAACATGAAACAGGCCAACGACCTAATCTCTGTCCTCCGAGAGGCAAACCAGGCCATCAACCCAAAACTGATCCAGATGGCAGAGGACAGAGGAGGTGAGGCTGCTAATTAACACAGAACATTTTAGAAACCTGAGATTAATTAAATAATAATTACCCTTTTTTCCCCTCAATTTAAAGGTCGATCTCGTGGTGGTCGCAGTGGCTATAAGGACGATCGTCGAGATAGGTATTCTAGTGGGGGTAGGAGAGATTTCAGTAGTTACAGAGATAGGGATTGTGACAGGGGTTATGGTAGTGGACCAAAGGTGCAGAATGGTGGCTATGGAGGCAGCAGCTATGACAAAAGTAACAATAGCAGCAGTAGCTATGGTAATTGCTATGGTGGCAATGGCCAGACCAGCTACAACACAGCGAACTCAGTTGCTGCCTTTGGGAATCAAACTTTCCAGAACCAGTCATTCCCGGGTAATCTGGCTCAGGCCCAGAATGGGATAAACCACCCACAGTACCCATTTAATCCTCCTCAACCGCACCAGCAGCCACCACAGCCCATGGTTCCATTCCCCATGCCCCCTTCCTTCCCCCAGTAGAGAATAGCAACTGCTGCTATTAGACACTTACAGATAATCAAGTGACTTGTTTAAAATATTACTTTCATTTGTACTGTTTATTTCGCTTATGGCAGAGCTGGATGTTTTAGCTCATCCAGCTGATATTATTAGTCAAAGCAATTACAGTGCACACATGTTATACAGTTTTTGTTACATTCCTCAGTAATTTATTTTTACTAGGTAGTGCACACTTTGATTTATTGTATGTTTTAACACAATGTTTGAAATCTGATTTGAGGGTCATGTATGGATCTTCAAATAAAGAGGGCAAAGAGAATTCCAGTGGTGTCTGACTTTTTTTTTTTTTTTTTTTGGGTGGGAGGTTTGAAAGGGGTATGTTGTAACATTGCATTTAATCTATGACTTTAGTACAGAGAGGGTGAAAACATACTCCGTCCATTGTATTGGTAGTTTCTGATCACAGCAACCCTGTTTACTTGGCCAATAAAGTGACATTAATTAAATACTGTGTTGAAGATGTTATTATAGTAGTCCATGCTGTATAGTTTACACTTGGGTTTGTCACATCCAAAAGACAGTGCTGGGAAAGCTCAAGGAATTGTTTTTAAACCCCTGGTGTACAAAAATGGGTTGCTGCAAGCAGTGGCGCAGATAGGATTTTTTAACTGGGGGGGGGGGGACCAAGCTGTCAGCAAATGATTTAAACTCAATTCGTTATTTTGCGTAATTTGGGATTTGACTAGTGCTCAAGTAGTTACTTTGTGTAATTTGGGCTAATGATTTGCACTAAAAAGCCATTGGGGGATTCTTATTTGAAATCATGGATAAACAACAATGAACAAAGGTAAACAAATGCCTACCTGATCACCACTAGCAATGCATGATCAGACTGTTAGGCTATTTGACTAGTATGCCAATCACCTACCAAAACTTAATGTCTTCAGCAAAGTATGTTTTATTTAAACATTTGCTTATCTCAGCATACAAAGTCATTATGAACAAAAAAGCAAAGAACCTATGTGCAAATAATAATAATAAAATAAAATAACAACGACATATTTACAATATAGTTGCAAGCAGCAACACGGGGCCAAGCCCTGCAAGGCACCGCAATTAGAGCAAAGTTCAAAGGCTTGGCACCGCAATTAGAACAAGTACAGCAAAGTTCAAAGGCTTGGCACCGCAAGCAGAACAAGTACTGCAAACTGCAAGTACAGCAAGCTGCAAGCACAGCAAGTACAGCAAGTACAACAAGTACAGCAAGTACAGCAAGTACAGCAAGTACTGCAAGTACAGCAAGTACAACAAGTACAGCAAGTACAGCAAGCACAGCAAGTATAGCAAGTACAGCAAGTACAGCAAGCACAGCAAGTACAGCAAGCACAGCAAGTACAGCAAGTACAGCAAGTAAAACAAGTACAGCAAGTACAGCAAGTACAGCAAGTACAACAAGTACAGCAAGTACTGCAAGTACAGCAGCGCATCAAGCATTTAAGCACCAATAGCAGTGCAGAGCCGCAAGAACAAAAACAGCACAAATTGAATATACATGTAAATGAAGCACAGCGAGCATTTAAGCACCAACAGCAGAGCAGAGCCGGAAGGAATTGAAATGACAACTTTATGCAGAATTTTAAAGTCGTCCCACATGGGACTCGAACCCACGACCAGAATGGTTCGGGATTCGAGATGCATGGTTTAGCTGATTGCGCCACTCAGAGGACATGAATTTCAAAACAGCAGAGGAGAGGGTTCAGTGTGAGAATGAGTTCACAAAAAAGTTCCATGACATGTTAACCAGATTAGCATGCTTATGACGTGGTACATCCAATCCTGGCAAAATAGATATCATCGGATTCGACATGATGCAAGGAATCGATAGACACCAATTTTATGATTTTGTGACAAACTGTTCACAAGTTACAGCCTCTTAGCCAATTTTGGGTTGACCTTGTTAAATTTGTGACATCATAACTTTTTTATTACAGTATAGCAAAAAAATCGGGAACAGTACTTTTATGCGGCTCGGTCCGAAGATCATTTGAGCAAATTTTGGACAATTTTGGACAAATTTTGAAGGAGGAGTAGCGAAAAAACTGTTTTACATTCGCTCCAATATGGCGGCCAGTCACATTGTTGGAAAATGACAAATGAGATATCGTCTAAATCGGCATAAACCAAGGAACATAATGTCATAAAGAACTCAAAATTTGAACAATATTTTCAAATGTTATAAGCGTTTTTTCAAAAAACAATGATATATCTGGAACACTAGGTGGCGCTGTGATCAAACTTCTCATGTCGCTTTAGGACATGGTGTCGGTCATCCCTACCAAATTGTGTGCTGATATGTCAAATAGTTTAAAAGATATTGCAATTTATGACAAAATTCAAAATGGCGGACACGTGGTACATCCCATCATGGCAAAATCGATATCCACGGATTCGGCATGATGCAACGAATCCATAGATACCACAATTATGATTTTCTGACAAACTATTCAAAAGTTATTGGCCAAAATAGCAATTTGTCATATCTCATGACCCGTAGGTGGCGCTGTTCCCAACTTTGGCATGGGACCTCAGAACATGCTTCCGATGAAGTGTACCAATTTTCGTTTCGATTGATCAAACTTTGGCCGAGATACAGCCTCTTAGCCAATTTTGGGTGGACCTCGTTAAGTTTGCGACATTATAACTTTTTTTTTTCCAGTATAACAAAAAAATCGGGAACAGTAATTTTATGCGGCTCAGTCTGAAGATCATTTGAGTGCATGTTTGGAGAAAATTGCACAAAATTTGAAGGAGGAGTAGCGAAATAACTGAATACTGTACATTTCAAAATGGCCACTACTGTAATGGGCGGGGTCTTAATGTAAGGTATTGGTTGTGATCAGCATGATGAGAGGAATCAGGTGTACCAAGTTTCATGTCTCTAGATCAAAGGGTTCAAAAGTTATAACCATTTCAATGTTACATTTTTGAACTGGTGGTGGCGCTATAGAGTTGGTCCTAGAGGGTCAAAAATTGGTCCAATTACTATTCATTAGCATCACTACAAGTGTGCCAAATTTCATCATTTTCCTATGTACGGTTCATAGGGCTGCCATAGACTTCCATTTGCGGAAGAAGAAGAAAACTATTATTCTGACAATAACAATTGCTAAATATAGCTGCAAGCAGCAACACGGGGCCAAGCCCTGCAAGGCACCGCAATTAGAACAATTACAGCAAAGTTAAAAGGCTTGGCACCGCAATTAGAACAAGTACAGCAAAGTTGAAAGGCTTGGCACCGCAAGCAGAACAAGTACTGCAAACTGCAAGTACAGCAAACTGCAAGTACAGCAAGCACAGCAAGTACAGCAAGTACTGCAAGTACAGCAGCGCATCAAGCATTTAAGCACCAATAGCAGTGCAGAGCCGCAAGAACAAAAACAGCACAAATTGAATATACATGTAAATGAAGCACAGCGAGCATTTAAGCACCAACAGCAGAGCAGAGCCGGAAGGAATTGAAATGACAACTTTATACTGAATTTTAAAGTCGTCCCACATGGGACTCGAACCCACGACCAGAATGGTTCGGGATTCGAAATGCATGGTTTAGCTGATTGCGCCACTCAGAAGACATGAATTTCAAAACAGCAGAGGAGAGGGTTCAGTGTGAGAATGAGTTCACAAAAAAGTTCCATAAGCATGCTAAGCTAGCTTATTGCTAATTTAGCTTATGACGTGGTCCATCCAATCCTGGCAAAATAGATATCATCGGATTCGACATGATGCAAGGAATCGATAGACACCAATTTTATGATTTTGTGACAAACTGTTCACAAGTTACAGCCTCTTAGCCAATTTTGGGTTGACCTTGTTAAATTTGTGACATCATAACTTTTTTATTACAGTATAGCAAAAAAATCGGGAACAGTACTTTTATGCGGCTCGGTCCGAAGATCATTTGAGCAAATTTTGGACAATTTTGGACAAATTTTGAAGGAGGAGTAGCGAAAAAACTGTTTTACATTCGCTCCAATATGGCGGCCAGTCACATTGTTGGAAAATGACAAATGAGATATCGTCTAAATCGGCATAAACCAAGGAACATAATGTCATAAAGAACTCAAAATTTGAACAATATTTTCAAATGTTATAAGCGTTTTTTCAAAAAACAATGATATATCTGGAACACTAGGTGGCGCTGTGATCAAACTTCTCATGTCGCTTTAGGACATGGTGTCGGTCATCCTTACCAAATTGTGTGCTGATATGTCAAATAGTTTAAAAGATATTGCAATTTATGACAAAATTCAAAATGGCGGACACGTGGTACATCCCATCATGGCAAAATCGATATCCACGGATTCGGCATGACGCAAGGAATCCATAGATACCACAATTATGAATTTCTGACAAACTGTTGAAAAGTTATTGGCCAAAATAGCAATTTGTCATATCTCATGACCCGTAGGTGGCGCTATTCCCAACTTTGGCATGGGACCTCAGAACATGCTTCCGATGAAGTGTACCAATTTTCGTTTTGATTGATCAAACTTTGGCCGAGATACAGCCTCTTAGCCAATTTTGGGTGGACCTTGTTAAGTTTGCGACATTATAACTTTTTTTTTCCAGTATAACAAAAAAATCGGGAACAGTACTTTTATGCGGCTCAGTCTGAAGATCATTTGAGTGCATGTTTGGAGAAAATTGGACAAAATTTGAAGGAGGAGTAGCGAAATAACTGAATACTGTACATTTCAAAATGGCCACTACTGTAATGGGCGGGGTCTTAATGTAAGGTATTGGTTGTGATCAACATGATGAGAGGAATCAGGTGTACCAAGTTTCATGTCTCTAGATCAAAGGGTTCAAAAGTTATAACCATTTCAATGTTACAATTTTGAACTGGTGGTGGCGCTATAGAGTTGGTCCTAGAGGGTCAAAAATTGGTCCAATTACTATTCATTAGCATCACTACAAGTGTGCCAAATTTCATCATTTTCCTATGTACGGTTCATAGGGCT